GATTTCTGATTAATTGGGGGGGGGGGGTTACATGCACTGTTTAATAATAAACTCAAGATGGGATTAATTAGCTAACTATTCACAAAAATTCTGAGAAAAGAGCAATAATTGTGAAATTGAAAGAGTTGTAATACTTGGCTAATATACTGACAGTATGCAAATCTCTTGTCAGTGACAAGATACACAACACAATTTTGAGAATTTATTTAAATATTTGGGATTTTGACCTCATTAAACTTTGAATAGGGTACATTAGAAATGACCGCACTACAAATTGTTAAGTTTGTCTGCCATAATGTGAAAATAAGACAAAAAACCACATCAGCACATCTGTTGATCACACTGAATTGATCACACTGAATTGGAAATGACATTTTCTAACAAAATGGCTACGAGCAGCCATTGGTTAATTAGTGGCATGAGACCTTATAAACAATGACACGCTATGCCATCTGTCGCATGCGCAGGTGATGACCCCTATCTATAAATCATGTAACAAAAGTAATCACTGAAGCATTGATGGGAACGTGAGACTTTACATACAAGACGGACTTATGACTGAGAGTCAAAAGGTGAATTCAGACAACAAAAGATCGACGTCTCATTGCGGTTCGTCTATTCAAAATAAGGTTTTAGTGGAATCGGACCATTTGAGAAATTTATCCGCAAATCGGGGTAGCGATCGGATAACAGTTGCAGCAGACCAACAGAATCTCCTTCGGCATCATGTGACGTCTCTTGTCCGAGAAATTGAGAGCAGAGCAGCGCGAAGGCGTGCTTCCTTTGAGTGAGATGAGTCTGGAAAAACATCAGACTGTCCACTTTGTAGACATTTGTCAGCAGTCGCTTTTTTTCCACCTTAGTCAGCTCCGATTTCAGAACGGGAAAGTCAAGCCTGTTACCGTTATGTGAAACGAGGCAAACTGGCTGGGCTTGTCTGGCTAGGAAACAGCGCACTGTCATTTCTACAGTCTGGTCCATCTGTTTTCTGCCGTGCTTCTCTAAAAACGACTTGCTTAGCCCTGTCATCTTCTGAGCTCCTGGATTAACCTCTCTGCTCGGCTGCACACACATCACCAGTTTGTCGAGAGCTCGTGGTGGGGCACGCGAAGTAGAGCCTTCTTCAAAGACTTTCCTTGAAACGGCGACCATCGCGATTTCGGTAATGTCGGGGAGAATATCTAAGACAGGTAACCCAGTAGCTTCGAGATCGATAAAAACGTACGTCTCAGTCGGGGTGAAGCGAGAACCCGTGGGTTTGATATCCGATGTCTCCGCTGCCAGAACGTCGTGGTCAAGATCGTTTTTCGTGGATGCTCCGTCTTCTTCACTGCCACTATCAGTGTCAAGCACCTTCGCTTTCTTATACCACGAATTTTCTGCTACATTCGTCGTCATGTTTCACCACCGAAATAACAAACGTTAACACTGCCTTAGTGCGCTCTGGAATGATACATCTGAACACTTTAAATAGGTATTTAAACTGAATGATGTGTTACGCACAAATACCTGTACACGTGAGACGTATGAAATAACCATGACACGTGTACATTTACGCACTGCGTCAGTATTCTCATCAAACACGAATCGTGGTAATATGAAAACCGATGATTATCGAAATGTAAACATACAGCCTCAATGATCATACACACCCCGGCCCTTCCTAAAATTCTAAAAACATACTTAAATTAAATCTTCACCCCCTTCCTCGAGGCAATAGAATCTACCAGGTCAATATTACACTGACGCTAGATTTCCAAGAAAACGTAATAAACAAATCTACACATGCGCAAATGCATGTAGCTTTACCGTACACGCGGAGTGTTTTCGAAAAACAATACGTCAATATTTCACAGTAAAATATGCGTTACCCTAAGAACTAACGTATTGTTTATAACACACCGTGACAGTAATTGGGTCAACATCGCGACAGTGACTCAGTACAATTCACGGGTCAGTCAATTTAAACATGACTAGACTGCGTTACCTGCAGTGTATAGAAACACTGAGATAAAATACGTCACGGCTTTACGAGGTAACATTGGAAACTATGGCGATACTCGTCAATTCGTAGAATTAAATTAATAAAACTGAGTACATTTTCACGGAAAATTATACAAATAAACTGCCTGATGGCCGGTTACTTTGTTGCTTATGTTTATAGTAACCATAGTAACCGATACATTGTTGGATGTTTTGTTTGATGCGTTCCATTGAGTAAAAACAATGTTCAGTGTTCAGATAGCACACGAGTCACGTGATAGGGATCAATATCAACTTGTCACGACTTGCTGACAGTCACTTGAAGGGTTGAAAATCATATCAAATCGTTATTTTATTTTTTCGATTTATCATTGCTGCTCGGCTCAATAAAACGGGTTTTGAAAAACAGCTGCCGTAAAACATATGCATCCACCATTTCAACGACCAGTTCTTAAGGATGTATGCTACAAAATAAAAAACCCATGGAAAATCGTTTAAAATACTACAGGTGTACAGGACATGTTACTCTAAACTCATAGAAAAGAAAAAAACATGGGGTTAATGTACTAATTTTTAAGATACACAATTCACAATTATGCTGAGTCAGCATTTTTAAGTAGCTTTAATAAATAACTTAAGTTGTCATTTATACTCAGTCTTAATCCACATTTTTACTGGAATTGGTTTTATCCTATCAGCACATAATATGAGTTCATATTTAAATTCAATTCTAATGAATTTAAGAAATTACCTATTTAAAGAAAACAATAGTTTCCTTCATTTGGTTTTGTATTTTAGATAAAAAAATTCATAGAAACTGTCCTACAAAAAATTTCATCCATGGAAATCTCTTGAAATTGTGTATATGTCGAGTGCTTATTATTCCATATTATACATTGAAAATGGTATGCTAATG